AGTGTCAAAATGGTGCACTTAAGTGTTAAAATGACGCACCTTAAGTGTCAAAATGGTGCACTTAAGTGTTAAAATGACGCACCTTAAGTGTTAAAATGACGTACCTTAAGTATTAAAATGACGCACATTCAGTGTTAAAGATGACGCACATTAAGTACTAAAATGGCGCACCTTTAGTGTTAAAATGACGCACCTTAAATGTTAAAATGGTGCACCTTAAGGGGGCGTTTAGTTCACGGAATGTTAGATTACCTTAGGGAATGTTAGATTGCTGTGAATGTTAGATTACTGGAATGTTATATTCCTATGTTCATAGAGGGCAACGTGAGATTATGGTGTAGGAAGCTATTGATTTGCCTTGTTGTGTATATGACTGGGAACTTATTAGTTGTACAATGAAATCTTGATCTTGCAACTGCCTATTGATATTTGGAAGTGGTAGTTTTTCCCCTACATATTTCATGTGTTGTGAGTGTATGTCGTAGATTCTCATTTGAAATTATTGAACAAAATATTAATATTTATTATATTTGTGGAAGGTTCATGAGTTGTACCTCTTGTTCTAGTTCCATTACTTTGTTACTTGATATTAAGTACAATGACTTTGTAGGTAGTCTGAATACTGATGCCTCAAGGTGTCCCATTTCACCAACAATTTCCATGCATATTCATTTTGCACTTGTTCATTTTGAAGTTCATATTTTTGAAAATAGTATGAATGAGTGTAGTACTTGATTTTGTGCGCGTGGGCGTGGGTGTGTTTTTGTTTTTTTTTTTTTTGTTGAATTGATACAAATCTTGGAGTACCTACTGCTGCCTTTTGACCCTAGTTAAATAGTTTGCAACTTTGTGCATAAACTTTTTTTTTAATAGTGGCTACATCCTATATACCAAGTGTTTTTGTTGTCAAGGTTGATGTTAATTTTGGCTTTAATCCAAGCTGGTTGAATCTTGAGAATGAAATGAATTGTAAATGTATATTAGTTCTAATATATTTAAAGGATGCACAATAATAAGTATTTTACATACAGGATTAATGAATGCTGCAACGGTGGCTATTTTTGAAATTTCTTAATTTTCTGGATTTGCAAGATTGATTGCAGCATTGCTGTAGTCCCAGCATCTTTTCAATGCGTCAAGTGCGTCACAATGTTCTATTGCCCTACATTGACATTTTTAATAATGAGTTTGAAATGTAACTACGTAAGATAATGATCTAGTTACCATTTACATATTATTTTCAACATAAAAACATACCATACCTTTATGTGTTGTGCTTGAGGTACTTTCAGTTCAACCATTATTGGTGTATGAATTTTTGTTGATAAAGAAATTCCTAGAATAAGATTAGATAATTAGTTAGTAGAACTGTTCAACTAAGATATGCTCCGTCGGGTGCTCGACGTACGTGTAAACGTCAACAACATAAGAGGGAATAAATGAAGTTCAATATTGAAGCCCTTGAGTTTTTGGATTGTTGTAAACCCATGAGGTTGTACGCGGAGGCCATTTGAAGGGCCAAGAGTACTTATTGGGTTGTGTCATATCATACAAATATACTGAATCCAAAAACCATAAAACATATGCTCCAAAATACATCAACTTCTACTTCACGAGCTCGGACCCATTCAACTTGTAATTTTTTTTCCTTATTAATCAATTCCTTTCCGGTCAGTCTATCCACAGTCAACTCCCTTCTTAACTCCATTTGGTTTCTGCAAAATTATTGGACTTCCAAAATATCATCCTTGACGGTGTTACCTATAAATATGCCTCGTCTTGGCACTTAATTCCCATAGCCACATTCATTTAGTTTTCATACTTGCTTAGCCACTTAGCCCACAAAAAAACAAAACAAAATCATGAAACTTGAAGTTGGTATTCTTTGTATTATGGTAGCCACGTCTCTAGTGTTTCTACTGACCATCAACCCCAATGATGAAGAGGGGAGAGTTGTTGTTGAAGATGAACAAGTATGGATGAGGAAGAATCATCTCGTGCTACCGTCTAAATGGAGGCGTGTTACACCTCCAACTCCCAACTTTGATACCAATAATGTTAACGTTGTTGGTCTTAATGAAAAGAATTTTGCAACTACAAACATGAATCAACTTTTGTTGCCATCTATGCAATGGAGACCTATTGCCCCTCCCTCGCCCAACCCTACTCTTGCCCAACACAACTTTGCTGATTTGCCGTCTGCAAAGGAAAATCTTTTTCTACCATCTTTGCAAACATGGCGCCCCGTTTCTCCTCCCAGATCCAACCCGGGGCACAATTCTGTTACTCCAATTGGCGAGATAAACTTTGCTAGTTCCGAGTTGAAAAAGGAACAAGTTTTGCTACCATCCCTACAAAAGGGAACTGTTACCCCTCCATCACCCAATCCTGGGACCAATTATGTTACCCCTCCAGGACCCAACCCTGCTGGGCAAAATTTTGTTAGTTCAATGGGTGAGAAAACCTTTGCAGCTCCAGAGTTAAAAAAGCAACAAGTTTTGCTACCATCCTTGGAAAGGGAACCTGTTACCCCTCCAACACCCAGTTCTGGGCACAACTCAGTCACAATGCTTAGCGAAATGGACTTTGCACGTTCTAAGTTGAGAAGTCAACATATTTTACTACCTTCCCTTCAAAAGGGACCTGTTACTTCTCCCGGATCCAGCTCTGGACACAATTCAGTGCCAGTTCCTCCCCTCGGGGAGAAAAACTTTGCATATTTGAAAATGATAAAGAACCATAATTTAATGTCGTATTCTCAGAAACTGCGGCCAACTACTCCTCCAGGAACAGATGTTGAGCAAAACTCAGGTTGCAACATTATGGGTACTAAAAAGAAGTTTGCAGCAAGGAAAATGGGTGGTGCTCGTCTTCCCCCAGTGGTTGTATCTCTAAAGGCTTCTAGCTAAGTTTATAGCACTTAAAAAACTAACTTGATAGCATTAAGTACCTGCGGATCCGAAAATCCATTTTTCTTCTCTTTTTTCTCTAATGTTTTTCATTGATGTTTTACACTATTATTATTACTTTAAATTTTTTGTTTTCTGTTTCAAATTTATTGTGGCCGTTAGTTATTAGATAAAATACAAGGAATTGAGGAATGTAATAACTAATGCTATGAATGATGGAGTAATAAAAGTGCATTGTTTAGTTCTATTATATATATAATTTGTTGTCTCAATTCCGAATATATTTCATATTTGATAGAAAAATAGATTTTTTTTTTTTTTTTTTTGGGAGGGAGAGCTGCATACAATAGGGTATGATCAAGAATGATCAAGATTAATCTAATCTCAGCTCGACATGAAATCTTGCCGCTGAGTTTTAAATAGAATAGCTACCAATTTGAACTCATTAAAAGTTAATAACAAAGATCATACTCTAGTCATTAAAATTGTAAGTGATACGCCATGAAATAACTTATATTTGTGCTCATTTATGCTTGTTTTTGGCTCAAGTGTTAAGTAAAGAAAGGTGGAACAATGCTTATTTCGTTGTATTTTTTTTTTATTGAAGGAAGAAAAGATCAAGTAATGGTGCAATTAGTTCTCAATTCTTTCTTGGGTATTCGTTCTCACCTGGTGCATATTTAGTGTTAAAATGACGCATCTTAAGTGTTAAAATGACGCACATTAAGTGTAGAACTTATATGCACCTTAAGTTCGAAATGTGTATAGTTTGAGAGGTAATAACTACTCCGAATGGTACCTTCCGAAAGGTACCGGGAAGGTTCGAAACGTGAGTCGTTCGAGAGTTAACTACTCCCAATGGTACCCAGAAGGTTACACTTAAGTATAGAACTAACACATCTTAAGTGTTAAATGACGCACCTTAAACTTTGAAAATACATACCTAAAATTTACAAATACGCACCTTAAGCTTTCAACAGTATGCAAAATTATTATAATGCTACCGTGTTATTTTTTAAAAAAAATTATTTTCATTCAGGGCTGTTGATTTTGGCTAGACCAATGGTGCGGCTATGATTAATCCACATGTTTCACTTGGGAGAGATTTCGCACCTGATTCTTTGTCTATATATATGTGTGTGTGAGATTCAATCTAACCCCTAAAAATTTTCTCATCATAATTTGTTATCTTGACATGACATTATTTGATTGAAAAATAGATTTTTTTTAATGTTTTTTTGGAGGGAAAGCTGCATGCAATAGGGTATGATCAAGAATGATCAAGATTAATATAATCTCATCTCGGCATGAAAATCTTGCCGCTGAGTTTTAAATACAATAGCTACTAATTTAAACTTATTAAAAGTTATTAACAAAAATCAAACTCTAGTCATTAAAATTGTAACTTATAATTTTAACAAGTTTTCTACCGTACTAATTATGCGGTAATAGGCTACAGGTGAGAGATGAGGTTTAATCTCAATCCTTGATCTATTCAAAATCAACTGCCCGGATTGAAAGAAACATTAAAAAAACACGATAGCATTATAGTTATTGCACTTTTTTTTTAGTACAATTGAACATATAATGATGACAAATATAATTAGTGAAGGAAATGAATCATCGATTGAGAACTAACAAGTACATGCTTATATACAAGAGCCTATCACCTAAATAGGTGGAGTAGCTTAGGAAGACTAAAGACTCTAACAGAAATAACAACCACTAATAATATAGCTGGTCTAATACTCCCCCTCAAGCTGGCGGGGGGCAGGGAACAACGCCAAGCTTGTAACGTAGCTCGGCAAACCTAGCAGCAGAAAGCGGTTTGGTGAAGATGTCAGCCAACTGGTCGTGAGTAGAGACGAAGTTAACCTTTAAGGCACCTGTTGATACCTTGTCCCGGACAAAGTGATAGTCCACTTCTACGTGTTTGGTTCTGGCGTGGAAGACAGGATTGGAGCAGAGGTACGTAGCCCCGAGATTGTCACACCATAAGACAGGTACAGCTGCTGGGAGCAGGCCTAGATCGCGGAGTTGAGACCGGATCCATGTTACCTCTGCTGCAACGTCCGCGAGGGCGGCCTTGTATTATGCTTCCGTAGACGAGCGGGCTACCATGCGCTGTTTCCTGGACACCCAGGATAGAAGATTGGGTCCCAAGAATACAGCATAGCCTCCCGTGGACTTTCGATCTACAGAGCATCCGGCCCAGTCGGAGTCAGAAAAGGCATGCAGAACCGGTGCAGTGGATGGAGTGATACGTAGCCCAATGTCTAACGATCCTTTGACATAGCGAAGCACTCGATTGAGTGCATCCCAGTGTCCCTGAGTCGGGTTATGCATAAATTGACAGAGTCTGTTGACTGAGTAGGCTAGGTCGGGCCGCGTTATCAGTAAGTACATTAGTGACCCAACAAGTTGACGATAAGGGGTCGGATCTTCGAGAGCATTAGAGTCATGCGATGCAGCTTGTGTGGACGGTGAGGCAGGTGTTGCTAACGGCTTGCATGACTCCATACCTTCTCTACGGAGCAGCTCGGTTATGTACTGCCTCTGGGAAAGGACTATGGTCCCTGCTCCATCAACAGCTTCAATCCCCAAAGAGAATCTCGGTTTCCCAAGATCACGAATGCGGAACACGGTAGACAGCCGGTCAAGCACCGTCTTAATCACTATTGAATCATTGCCCATTAGCAGGATATTATCTACGTACACAAGTAGATAGATACGCACAGACCGGGGTCATAAATAAATAGCGAGATGTCGGTTTTGGAGGACCTGAACCCAATTTGGATCAGGAAGTCATGAAGCCGAGTAAACCAAGCACGCGGGGCCTGCTTGAGGCCATACAACGAACGTTGCAACTTGCATACGTAATCTAGGCAGTTTGGGTTTGCATAACCCGGGGGTTGACGCATATAGATGTCTTCAAGTTGACGCATGACCCACTTGTTAGACACAACATAGGCTAACAGAAGCCGGATGTGGTGGGTTTTACCACTGGACTGTATGTGTCAAGATAGTCCTGTCCTGGGATCTGGTTGAACCCCTTGGCTACCAGGCGAGCTTTGTAACGCTCAATTGTGCCATCTGATTTCCTCTTGATACGGTAGACCCACTTGCAGCCAATGACATTCATGTCATTGCATTGCGGGACGAGACGCCATGTCTGGTTCTGTATTAGGGCATTGAACTCAGCATTCATAGCCTCACGCCACTGGGGTTGGCGAATAGCCTGAGAATGACACGTAGGCTCATCGTCATCAACTGATGCAACCATAGCGGTAGGACGCTTTCTTTGAGCATCCGTGGTAGTTCGCATCCTCATGACATGGGTCCGTACGATGGGACATTGACGCCGCCGCCTTGTTGTAGTCGAAGTGGACGTTGAAGGATGATATGAGGAAGATACATGTGCCGCCGTGGAGGATGAAGTCGGCACCACCCCAGCCGGATTATTTCCACTTGTTGGTGGACTCACCAAGGCAGATTCTGCCCGTGTGCCGTGAGGTCGAAGCTGGGCGAACGCCCATGGATGAGTGGACGCCGATGACACATTGTTTGTGGGTTGAGTCTGAGAGAACGGGAACACCATCTCATTGAACCTGATATGTCTGGAAATGTAAACTCGTCCAGAATGAATATCCAGACACCTGTAGCCATAAAATGATTCAGGATACCTAAGAAATACACAAGACTTGGACCTATAATCCATTTTATGTGAGTTGTAAGGGCGTAAGTATGGGAAACATTCACACCCAAACACACATAGTAACATATAGTTTGGATATTGTTGATACAGACGGAAAAAGGGACTTGTGCCATTTGACACTAGATACGGCAGACGGTTGATAAAATGAGTAGCCGCCTCAAAGGCGTAGAACCAGTATTTTCTGGGAACCTGACCACGAGCCAACAAGGCAAGGCCCGTTTCTACGACATGACGATTCCTACGCTCCACACGACCATTTTGTTCATGTGTATGCGGGCAGGATGTCTTGTGTTGGATGCCTGCGGCTGCAAAAACCGTACCTAATTTAACATACTCAGTTCCCATATCTGATTGGATACATTTAATCGAACGGGAAAACTGTTTTTCTACTAGAGCACGGAACTTGGTGAAAATATGGTAAATGTCGGACTTGTGGCGCATGGGATAAATCCACATGAACCGGGAAAAGTCGTCGACAAACAAAACGAAATATTTATGCCCATTGACCGTAGGGACGGGAGATGGTCCCCAAATGTCAGAAAAAATTAAATCTAAAACAAAACGACTGGAACTTTGAATTCGTGTCAACGGGAAGCGCGCAGACTTGCCCATCTGACACGGTTTACATAGTTTATTCAACGAACTAACTGAACCTACTACTGGACAAACGGAAAGGATTTGCCTTAGAACACGATCATGGGGATGTCCATGACGTTCATGCCAAGTCTTCGGGAATGCTTTAGCTGACAGGAAGGCAACCGGATTGGATAGATTTAGTGTGTACATCCCGCCCGAGCTAGGACCCTTAAGTAGAATGCGCTGATTAGTACGGTCCTTCATAACAAAATAACGAGGGTGAAACTCAAAATATACATCAATGTCCTGGGTAAATTTTTGGACCTAAAGTAAAGATGCACGTAATTCAGGGACATGTAATACGTGCTTTAGAAACAGAGACCGAGACGAGGAATTTAAAGACATTGAACCTGTGTTTTCAATTGGAAGACCAGTGTCATCTCCTACTTGCAATGAATCCCCACCATTGTACTGCTCTACTCCAGTAAGGCCATCAACAGTCGGTGTAGCATGGGCATTTACACCTGTGTCCTGCAGCCAAACGTTCGAAAAGGGGGCGGACGTATGGTCGTTCGGAGCATACGCCATGTTAGCTTGCGCATGAGACGGTCGACCGCCCTGAGCCTGAGCTAGACGGTGACTACCTGCATCATCAAACCTCCGGTAACATGTGAGGGCAGTATGACCTGGTATATCGCAAATTTGGCAGCGAACACCACCTCGCCCTCTCTGACCAAGACCACGGCTCCCCTTGTGATTACGGCCGCGCCCACGTCCACCGTCATGATTGTTCCTGGACGGCGACTGTTGAGCAAGTAAGGTGGACGAGACTGGAGCTGCTGGCGCGGTTTCTTCTGGAAAAAGATAGCTATGGGTGTTCAGTAGGTCTGCAACCTCCGGGATGGTGAGCGGAGCTTGTTTGGTGGTGAGAGACGCCACTAGCGAACGGAATTCCGGGCGTAAGCCCCGAAAAAGATGGAGATTGATTTCATCGAGTCCAATTGGTCTGCCAGCCTGCACTAATTGTTCTACAAGAACCTGGGCACGTCCAAGGTAAGCCGAGGTCGTCGAATCGCCCTGATTAAGACCTTGCAGCTGTGTCAGGAGGCTGAGCATTCGCGACCGAGATGTCGATCCCAGTGCTGTTTCAATCGCTTCCCACACACCTCTGGCTGTCGAGTGTCCAATGGCTAGGTAGAGGACTTCATCACCGAGGGAGGAGAACAGCATGTTAAGAATAGACTGGTCCTGTTGGACCCAGTCCGAATGCAGCGGGTTGAGCACCGGAGCAGCCGCTGAGGTCGTCGCCGATGGAAGGAACTCCAGCGGGCACGGATGTGTGCCATCCACGAACCCGTATAAATTTTGTCCAAGTAGAAACGGGACAAGCTGCGCCCTCCAGAACAAGTAGCTCGTGGCTGTCAACTTGATAGACACGTAATGGTGTGCCTGTTGTAAGACGGTAGGAGTTCGGCGCTCGGAGGGTGCCGCCACCTGAGCCGCTCCATTGGAGGAGTCACTGGGCAGGGTAGCGCTGGGATTGGTTTCATTCTGATTGGCCATAGGTGAATCTGGTCGTCTTATACCAAATGATGACAAATATAATTAGTGAAGGAAATGAATCATCGATTGAGAACTAACAAGTACATGCTTATATACAAGAGCCTACCACCTAAATAGGTGGAGTAGCTTAGGAAGACTAAAGACTCTAACAGAAATAACAACCACTAATAATATAGCTGGTCTAATACATATGTTCAAAACTTAAGGTGCATATGTTTAAAGCTTAATGTGTGTAGTTTATTAGCTTAAGGTGCGTATGTTTAAAGCTTAAGCTGCGTTACTTTCTAGTACAGTTAAGGTACATCAATTTAAAACTTAAGCTATTAAGGTGCATAGTTTTATAGCTTAAGTTCCGTATGTTTAAAGCTTAAGGCTATCCTTATCCCTACAATGCACTCTCACTTTCAAAAGTGGGTCCTACTTCCACATCACATAATTTGCAATTCATTTACTATTCACACTACATCCCTACAAATCCAATTAACTTTTAAAAGTGGGCTGCAATATCACATCAATTTAAACTGCGGCCAACTACTCCTCTAGGAACAGATGTTGAGCAAAACTTAGGTTGCAACATTATGGGTACTAAAAAGAAGTTTGCAGCCAGGAAAATGGATGGTGCTCGTCTTCCCCCACTGGTTGCATCTCTAAAGGCTACTAGCTAAGTTTTTGAAAGGAGCCTGCTCGGCATTTATTCAAAATATACTGAAATAGCGCTTGGTGGGTCGAAATCCCAATACATAGTAACTGAATGAGTAAAAGCTGTAGATGCTAAAGCGTGTGCTAAATAGTTATCTAATCTAAGAACATAATAAAGCGAGCAATAATCAAAAGTCAACATACTGGTCCTGCAACTGTCAATAGCATAACCCAGATATGAGCGCGGCGAGCGTGTCGTAGACGATAGATATTGTTGTAGGGTCAAACAATCCGTGAATAGCTGGATCGACGTTTCCCCATGTGCCCTTAACCAAGACAGGACTTCCTTAAATACTTGAATCCCATGAATCTCAACTTCTCTCTAATTGTTTTCAAAATCTTGAACCTCTGTTTTATTTTATTTATTTTATGCCAATCAATCATCTAAGTAATTGTTAGGATTAGCTCTAATGAATAAGTTAGTAACTAGTGCTTGATACAACCACTTTCCTGTGGATCGATAACTCGTACTCCGAGAATTATTTGTTTGCAAATATACTACGCATCAAATTGGCGCCGTTGCCGGGGAGGTGGTGCTTCTAGTATTAACATTAGTGAAATCTTTATTCTAGGAGACTAGTCCATTTTTATTTTTTTTTTATTTTATTTTAGTTTGCTAACCCATAACAAGTTCATTGTTTTGAGTGTGATTTAGTTTATGGATAGATATGCATTCCAAGGAACCATGCCACCGTTTTACCCTCCTTCTCAAGGTTATGAGATGAGTTGGAATATGAATCGAGAATATGGAGGAATGGAACAACAATTCCCTTTCTCAAATTTTGCCAACTCTAGTCAAGGATATTATCAAGAAAGTTCATATCAAACATCACAACCCCAATGGTGCTCATTTTGTGGTGGGAATCACTTTGTGGAAAATTGTTACATGCTCAACCCCACCAACCATATCCCTCAATAATCTACTCAAGGATTTTGTGCCAACATGAGTCAAGCTACTTATCAAAGATGCACACCACCTACTCCACAACCCTCACGGTGCATGATATGTGGTGGATCTCATGAGGCGGAAAATTGCTTTATCATGGATCCCAATTACAAGTATCAAGGGCGAGCTCAAGAGTTGCCGTACCAAGAGTTTCAACAAGATTGTCAATCACTTGACCAAATAATTGAGATGAAG